CTCAAAGTGTGGTCCGGGCAGGATCTTCAGCACCTCCTCGATGCTCCTCCAGCCGGGCCGGGCCAGAACCTGAGTCAGGCGCACACTGAGCGGGGCGTAGCCGCTGTACACGTACGAGATGTCGTTCGGGTTCTGAGGGACAGTGAACTCACATTAAACACTCCCAAAAGCATGAGCAACACGGACGGCCACCGTCAACTAGGAATTCAAACACATAAAATAATGTGTACTGAGACATACCTACACAAATCGGGTCATGAAACATTCGTAAATATACGAGTAAATATGCGAGTGATTTGCGCGTATAGAGACCTTCCCGAAAACTCTTCTCCTGATTCACAAATACTTTGTAAACGTCAGATGTGATAGTGAAATGTGTGTGTGTGTTAATGAATTCCAATCAGTTGTAAATGGGACGCGCGTGCACGCTCATTCTCAATTACCATAAATCCCGCCCACTAAATCCGACTGACAACCACTGATGGGCAGTAACGCGTTACTGTAATCCAATTACTTTTTTCAAGTAACGAGTAAAGTAAGGGATTACAATTGCAAAAACAGTAATTAGATTACTGTTACTTCCCCGTAAGCAGGCTGCGTTACTGCGTTAGTTAACCGTCATTTTGTTTCGTGAGACTGTCTCGTGCCATGAGTCGTGAGTGACAATGATGTATGAGCGCCGCGATGTCAGTGGTAAACACCGAAATGTGTAGTGTTGAACAAGAGACAACGTGGAGCAGGCAGAGAGACACGCATTTGATTGGTCTCACACGCCACACCTCCGATTTCTCACGCTGAAGTGTCAACCCGGTCGGTCAAATGCCTGAAAGATGAGTTTATCTATAGATCTACCTGTTGAGCCACTCGTGATCGACTAGTTATACCGCAAATTAGTTTAAATCTCCCGGACTCTAGAGCGAGCGTGCATGCGAGACAGAGACCGCGTAGTGCACGCGCACCCACAGAGAGGGAGAGCGAGCGAGAGACCTTGCGTGTGTAGAGAGCATCCTGATCTAGAAACAGGACCCCCGTTGGAGAATGTCAAAATTCCACCTCAAATCTGAGCAAGCACCTAGCAAGAAGAAGGAAGAAGGACTTTCTTTATTTCATTAAAATATGGTGAAATGTGCAGAAAATAGGTTTAAATGTTCATCAAAAGTCTGAGACTGTTGCATTTAATTTAATTTTTGCTTGATGCAATGTGCATAAAGTTAAAATATTGAAACTAATAAAACAAGTTTAAAAAAGAGTGTTTCATTTGATTAAATTTTAGATGATGGAATATGCAGAAAGAATAGAATTAGGCTGAAAGGTCTATTGCTTTATAGCGTATTCAGGTCGTGCATCATATTTTTGAAAAGTAACTTAGTAAAGTAACTAGTAAAGTAACTAATTACTTTTGAAAATTAGTAATCAGTAAAGTAACTGGATTACTTTCTTGGAGAAGTAATCAGTAATCAGTAACTAATTACTATTTCCAAGTAACTTGACCAACACTGCTGACAACTATATATGGGCATCATATTATGACACCAAACAAAGGATTTCAACATGTCTTCTCAAAAGCGAATGATTGAAAAAGAAAAGTTTCTCAGATGGAGAAATCGAAGTTTTATTAATAGAAGTTTACGCGTGGCGTTTTTCGCATCTTCCTCGTCTTATTTCTTCCCGGCAGTGTAGACGCTACTTGGCGCATCTTCTTCGCCGTTACGTGTGTGCGCTCGGCAAGACCGTTTTGTGTTTGAGCGCCCCCAAGTTGTGTTTTACTGTAACTTCAGAAGCTCCAGACACGTGAGCAAAAGCGGCAATCTCATTGGTCGGATAGTTTTTGACGCGGCGCTTAGAACCAAAAAAAAACGAACCCGAGGCGTTTTTTAAAAAATGACGCTTATACGCGTGGCGTTTTTCGCGTCGGTGTGCACATTCACATTGGCGCCCTTTGTTTAGTCACGAGGCATTAAACGTCGGCAAATAACGCGCGCGAAATTCGTTCCGGTGTGTACGAGGCTTTAGTTATTAAAGAGCAAAACGTTCGGGTGTTAAGCGCACTATTTACGCGTGGCTGGGAGCAGGTGTAGATTTCTTTCGTACCAACTAACATTTGGAAAATACGAACATTTTAATGAATCCGAAAATTTACGCCAGAACCACTTTACACACGATTTACACAAAAATTCGTTCTGCTCGTGTTTCATGAATGAGACCCAATATGTATATAGTACCAGTCAAAAAGTTTGGAAACATTATAAAAGTATTTTTACTGTTTTATTTTTAAAGTCGTCTTCTGCTCATCAAGCCACTACGTTATTTAGTTTAAATGACATCTGTTTGTTTGCGCCTGAAAATAGCAATATTAGCTCAACTTTTGGGTTAGGGTAAGGGTTAGGTTCAGTAGTCAGTTTGGGTTTATAAGTTATATATGTTTTCAGTTATATAAAAACACTGAACCTTATTGAAAATGGGTAGCAGGACAAACCTGTTCATTGGCGTCCTCCATCCACAGTTTGAGTGTTTTCCTGATTGTGGGGTAGTTGTTTCTCATGGTGCTTTGAGGTTTGAGTAACCCAACCTTTTCCAAGTTCTTGACGGTCAGAATGTGCTCGTATCCATACGTCTAAACCAACAAAGCACAAACATGTTTTTTAAAACATTCAATTGTCTTAAAGGGACAATGTGTAGGAATTTCTCCCATCTAGCGGTGAAAATGTATTTTGCATTCAAACGAATTGCGCCTCCAGCGCCTCGCTTTTTCAAATGCGCGTTGCATCTACGGTAGCCATTATGTACCAAAAAGCTATGACAGGATGTCTTCTAATAGCACTTCGTCGAGTGTTCCTTCGGGTGAACAGGTTTGTTATTTCAAACAAACAGCAACTTGACACAACGAACAAACAAATGTTACAGTATGAATTACTGACTGTGAAAAACATCAACTATTGTATTTAGTAGTTATGCCTTCTTTATTCGTTATATTTTCTGAAGTACTCTTTTGAAATCTGTCTCCTGTATTAGCTCTCTCCACCTGGAAAAAGCTATCCCGACATTAACTCTTGTTTTTTGTAATCTCTGGTCACGTTTCCTTTTACGTTCTATTTTGGACTTTTTTGGCGACGAGGATTTATTCTCCTGTGGCTCGACATATGTATGGTCCGCCATTAAAAATAACAGTGCAATGCAGCCTTTTAAACTTGCCGGGGTCGTGACAAGCGCCTCTCACTGCTCTGCTCCTCCGCTTCTGCTGCTTTCAGTCACGTGACGCTGGCTCTGAACGAAAACGCGCGGTGGAAATGCGTTGGCCGAGTACTTTTTGTCCCTCTCTGCTATTATAGTTTTTCAAGATGGCGGAACTACATGGAAGCCTCCGTGGACCTACCCGTCCCATGTATATATATATATATATATAATAAATTCTTCGTTTACGAGGATAAGTCAGATAATTGGCAGAGGTATTTGTACACCATTGAGGACATATTTATGAATAAAAATATTGATTTTAAATAATAAAATACATAAAAAGTCCCTTTAACGGGCTCAATGTGATTGGTTATCGAGCCACATGTGATCCAACCGTTGACCGTTATGCATTCACAAAATGTATCTGCAAATAGAGTCGTACCTGAAGGATCTCCTTCTTATAGTAGTCGAGGACTTTCTGTTTGAGGCCGTTGTTGCAGACGGACTGCATGCACACCAGCCGCAGGATCTTAATCAGCGGGTCTTTCTGTGCAATGCAGTCTTCTATATACGTGCTGACCTGAGAGGAAAAGCACACATGATCACATCAGTGACGAGAAACACATGAAAACAAACCTAAAATATATTCTGTTCACAGAGAATAAAAAAATAAAAAAAAGTACAATGTTTAAAATTATTTATGATATTTCTAAGATCTTGTATGTTCAACTTCATTCTTTTCTGTTCGAACAATAATGAGTGCAGAGATGTTTATCGTATTTATACTAATAATGTTTTGGAAAAAAGTAACCATGAAATCAAAATTGACAATGCTTTATGGAACATTGTGGTATTTATTATAAATGTATCTGTGCATATTATTACTGTTTTAAATTCATGTTCCTGGTAATCTTGAATCAGAATAACTTCCCCTCCCTCTTGTAGCAACATCATCTCTTCTCTGATTATGAAGGGGGCGGGGCAACATGTCACTCACACGAGATCCACCAATAGCAAACCACCACCCTCCAATCAAGCCCCGCCCACATTCGTTCTTGTTCCAGAAGCCGTTTCACTAGGACCACTGATATTAACTGAATAACAACGGTTTACTATTGTCTTTTTAGAGCTGCTTTACAGCAGAACTGAACTCTGTTTGCATCACTGAATCCTTATTTCCCTGCTATCACTGTAAAGCTGCCTTGACAGCTAAAATAAGGTGACTTAAAATAAAGGTGGCTTGACAATAGGGAAGAATAAACTATCGCAGCTAGCATTTCATGACGACTTTAAACGACACTGCCTTTATATTGAAATCATAAAGAAAACAAGGCACCTTGTCTGTGTCCACTCCAGTCATAAACTCTTGTTCAACGGTCAGACTCTCAAAGAAGGCTTCTGAGACTGAAACGCAGGAAAGAGTTCATTAATTTTAATATTATCATTTACCACAGACCACAATTTCAACTCCTCCGGCAGTTTGTTACAGGAAAACACTTACAATGCAAGACTAACAACAACACTGTGACTGTTCAAAATGTGCAACTCAGCATATTATTTAATATTGGAGTCTAATTTAGCTGAATACTAAACATTTAATCATCTAAATAAATCAATTTTATATTTATGGGCCACTGCAAACCACATTAGCATTTCAAATATTTATAGAATATTAAATATTTTCACTTAATGATAATTCTTGATATCATCAAAAGAATGATTAAAACAATAAAATTCATTTGTAGCATTAGATATTCCACTTGACTGAATAACTTAATCCACGTTAATCCTTTAAATTAAGTTTAACGTTCATTGCATGAAAGGAGAAAAGAAAAAACAGGCTGTTTCCAGCTAGTCCATGTTTCTAAATGTGTCTAGTTAAAATTAAATTTAAGATTTAATCAATTCTGTTTTCACTAGTAATAACAGCTATATTTAATGTAAGGCCATTTATTGTGATTAGCTGGTAATTCTACATTACTAGTCAGAGCCCTCTTTACATACTGACATAAAAAAACAACATTTGTATTAAAATAAACATACAATGTATTAGAAGAATCACATGTAAGATCTGCAAATTAATTTTAACATGTTGGATCCAGTACTTCAGACATCTACAAATGGATTAAATATATAATTTTTTACTGTTATAGATGACATATCTCAAATTAAAATGACCACCAATGAAAAACAAATTACAGTTTACAAATTAGAAGAAAAAAAAAACATTTTAAAAGTTATAATTAAAAAAGTAATAACTATTGATATCAGGAAAGGACATTTCCACTAGTAACAATGTAGTTATTGACGCATTTTTTCACTAGAAAGGAGTTAATAATTAGACATGTAATTGAATTTGTCAGATGATCAGAGAGAACTGTAACATTTTGCTATTGAAAACTGTCATATCAATACGTTTTTATTAATAGAAAAATCTTCCACAAAATTGATCTTAAGTATTCATCTTAAGTATTAATTTCATTGTCCATATGAGGAATGTTACAACTTATTCACAATAATTGATATACTGCAAATGATTAAATGTTAAAGAATCTAAATTATTCAAATTTGTTAGCTGAACTGCACCTGCATTCAAATAAATATTTGCCTCTTTTTAGACTAACGATGAAAAGTATTCATCAGAAATGAGATGTGTTAAATCTTACCAGCCTGCTTGCTAAAATGCGTTTGATTCTTGTTAATGACTTTATGTCGTTTGCTTTGAAAATATGAAAATAATATAGTTCTTAACCCTCTGGGGTCCTTCATTTCAGAGTCACACTCAGGACCTTCGGGTCCAAATGGGCCGGAAGGGTGGGATTAATATTTATTAAAAAAAGAATCATTAATTTTTTTTTTTTTACTTGTTTTTTATAATATTTTTTCTTTTCTTTTTTTGGTGTTTTGAGATCATTTCAAAAAAAAATCCCCATTGAATATAATAAAAAAAAAAAAAAAAAAAATTTAAAGCTGTATTTCATTTTAGAGTCAAGCCTAGGCCTCATGAAAGCAATTTTTGAAATGAGATGGATGCCATCTGGTGGACAAACTGAGCATTTTAAAAATTCAAAACCCATATGTAATCTGAATTTATTAGTGTGTATGTGTATAAAAGTGTGTTTGTGTGTGCGTGTGTGTGTGTGTGTGTGTGTGTGTGTGTGTGTGTGTGTGTGTGTGTGTTTGTGTGTGTGTGTGGATGTGTCTGTTTTGCACTCTTGATGTTTTATAGATTCACCCCTTCACTGTTGTGTGCTTTTTTTCTGGATCGTGGCTGATTTGTAGATTGTACGCACAAAAAAACTCTGTATTTTCACATTTTTGCCAATTTCCCATTCATTTCCTATGCGGGTCCATTTGGACCCGAAGGTCCTGAGTGTGACTATTTCTTTTACAACCACTTAAGACTATTCAAATCCTGTCCCCAATTTTTTTGGGTGTTCATATACCAAATACCAACAAAGTCACCAAATTTCGGACCATTCCGATAAAAAAAAAAAAGTATTTAAATGCTTCGGGTCCATTTGAGCCGAAGGACCCCAGAGGGTTAAATGATTTATTTTTGTATGGTATTTAATTGTTTTGATTTTGAGTTATTTGTGTTGTGGTAACGGAGGTCTTTTATTTTGAAGTTCATTCACGTGAGCGGATATAATGCGCATATGGTCCAAACCTTTCAGTATGAATGAGATCCAGACGTACATGGTTATGGTATCGAAAGTTTCCAATTTGCAAGGAATTTAAAGGGATTTAGCTCCTGGTTTGAATGGAGAACAATGTATGATTATAGCCTTCCTGTTATATCTATGTCCATGTTTTGATTTATATTATTTGTATTAAGATTACTTATTGGTTGTTGTTTTGTACAATGTATAAGTCATTAATCTTACTTATTTGGTTTTGATGGATGTTTATTTATTTTCGGTATTTTGTTTTCTTTTTGTACAAGCTTTTACGTTGATTCTCAACGAACATGCCTTTATCTGTGATGACGGACATTTGAATAAATTGTAGGAATCATCAATCAAAGAGTCCAATCTTTCTTGAACCAGGCAGCTACAATTCTTCCTGAGGGACGAGTTGCAGTGGTTGTCGTCTAAGCTAATTGACAGCTTGTCCACAGACCTCAGAATATTGCTTTTATTTCTGAACGTATGAATGATTGGTCTCATACTCACTCGTTATGTCCTTGACGAGTTCAGCGATGGAGGTGTGATTAGCCAGTGAGCTGCGAGCCGCCTGCATGTGAGGCAACTGGGAAACAAACTGTTTAATCTCCCCAACAGTTTTTGCATTGTGTCGTTCCTATCAGAGAAACAAGAAAACCAGCTTATTAATGACAAGAGTTTTCTTCTGCTCATCAAGGGTGCATTTATTAGCTCAAAAATACAGTAATAACTACAAATAAATAATATATATAAATAAAATGAAATTTATTCAAATTAATTTTCAGCATCATTACTCCAGTCTTCAGTGTCACATGATCCTTCAGAAATCACTCTAATATGATGATTTGCTGCTCAATTATCATTGGTGCTCAATTATTAATAACTGTTCTTATTATTATCAATGTTGAAAACAGTTTTTGCTGCTTAGTTTTTGTGAAAACTGTTTAAAAAATGTCAGGATTCTTTGATGAATAAAAAGATCAAAAGAACAGCATGTATTTGAAATAAAAAATGAACATTATAAATGTTTTTACTGTCACTTGAATCAATTTAATGCTTCCTTGTTGTATTAAAGTATTTATCAAATCATCATATTAGAGTGATTTCTGAAGGATCATGTGACACTGAAGACTGGAGTAATCATGCTGATGAAAATTTAGCTTTGATCACAGGAATAAATCACATTTTAACATATATTCACACGGAAAACAATTCTTATAAATTGTAATAATATATCACAATAGACTTCATCAAATAGACTTCTTTCTAAAACAGTCTTTTGAGCAACAGTGTATTGATTTTAAACAGTTTTTGCAACACAAAAGCAGCACAAACCTCGAACGCGGCTGATATGATCTTGGCTTTCTTGCTGAGAGCCGCACCGACAGCGTTGAAGTTCTTGTCACGTATTTCGGCATAAAGCTCCTCGGCTGAGTTGAGCTGCAGTTTTTTGGGCTCAGTGGGAAGATCTTTCCCACCTTCTCCCTGTTTCTTCTGTGCAAACTTCTCAGGAGGAAGCTTCACATAACCTGTCAAAGCAACCCAGGCATGAGCAAACGAGAGCGTATACGGTCTTTAAATGATGTACTTCTAAAGTATTTCTTTCGTGTCCAAACATGTTTTTAAATTCTTTACCATTGGTGATGCCGTAGATCTCATCGATAAGACCCTCGTAAGTAAGTTGAGTGGCTAATGGTGTCAGCAAGTCCACATTACGATCCAACAGGAGAAGTGTGTCGAACACAGGCAGGATTTGAGCATGACCTGCAAACTCTCTCTTCATCCGCAGCATCATGTTGGCCACATGCTGAGAGACACACAGCACAATGCCGTAATGCATACAATTGAAACAATCTAATAATATATTAAAATAACATCTTTTTATACATCAGTGAAATGGAAAACAAAATTGTGTTTACCAAGCTACTACAAATTAGTATGGAGGCTTTTTTCTGCCACAGAATAAAACAATTTTTTTTTTTTTAAAAAAGGTAATTGCGACTTTCTCACAAAATAGTTTTTTTTTCTCAGAATTATGAGTCTATATCTCGCAATTCAGATTTTTTTTTTAAATTGTGAGATATAAATGCACAATTGCGATATTTATTATGGGATATAAACTTACAATTGCAAGAAAAAAAGTCAGAATTGTGGGATATAAACTCACAATTGCAAGAAAAAAAGTCTAAATTGCAAGTTTCTCAGAATTGCGAGTTTTTTCTCACAATTGCAAGAAAAAAAGTCAGAATTGTGGGATATAAACTCACAATTGTAAGAAAAAAAAGTCAGAATTGTGGGATATAAACTCACAATTGCAAGAAAAAAAGTCAGAATTGTGGGATTTAAACTCACAATTGCAAGAAAAAAGTCAGAATTGTGGGATATAAACTTACAATTGCAAGAAAAAAGTCAGAATTGTGGGATTTAAACTCACAATTGCAAGAAAAAAGTCAGAATTGTGGGATATAAACTTACAATTGCAAGAAAAAAGTCAGAATTGTGGGATTTAAACTCACAATTGCAAGAAAAAGTCAGAATTGTGGGATTTAAACTCACAATAAAAAACAAAAGTCAGAATTGTGGGATATAAACTCACAATTGCAAGAAAAAAATCAGAATTGTGGGATTTAAACTCACAATTGCAAGAATAAAGTCAGAATTGTGGGATTTAAACTCACAATTGCAAGAATAAAGTCAGAATTGTGGGATTTAAACTCACAATTGCAAGAAAAAAATCAGAATTGTGGGATATAAACTCACAATTGCAAGAATAAAGTCAGAATTGTGGGATTTAAACTCACAATTGCAAGAAAAAAGTCAGAACTGTGGGATATAAACTTACAATTGCAAGAAAAAAAAGTCAGAATTGTGAGATATAAACTTACAATTGCAAGGAAAAAGTCAGAATTGTGGGATATAAACTTACAATTGCAAGAAAACAGTCAGAATTGTGGGATATAAACTCACAATTGCAAGAAAAAAGTCAGAATTGTGGGATATAAACTTACAATTGCAAGAAAAAAGTCAGAATTGTGGGATTTAAACTCACAATTGCAAGAAAAAAGTCAGAATTGTGGGATATAAACTCACAATTGCAAGAAAAAAGTCAGAATTGTGGGATATAAACTTACAATTGCAAGAAAACAGTCAGAATTGTGGGATATAAACTCACAATTGCAAGAAAAAAGTCAGAATTGTGGGATATAAACTTACAATTGCAAGAAAAAAGTCAGAATTGTGGGATTTAAACTCACAATTGCAAGAAAAAGTCAGAATTGTGGGATTTAAACTCACAATAAAAAACAAAAGTCAGAATTGTGGGATATAAACTCACAATTGCAAGAAAAAAGTCAGAATTGTGGGATTTAAACTCACAATTGCAAGAAAAAGTCAGAATTGTGGGATTTAAACTCACAATAAAAAACAAAAGTCAGAACTGTGGGATATAAACTTACAATTGCAAGAAAAAAAAGTCAGAATTGTGAGATATAAACTTACAATTGCAAGGAAAAAGTCAGAATTGTGGGATATAAACTTACAATTGCAAGAAAACAGTCAGAATTGTGGGATATAAACTCACAATTGCAAGAAAAAAGTCAGAATTGTGGGATATAAACTTACAATTGCAAGAAAAAAGTCAGAATTGTGGGATTTAAACTCACAATTGCAAGAAAAAAGTCAGAATTGTGGGATATAAACTCACAATTGCAAGAAAAAAGTCAGAATTGTGGGATTTAAACTCACAATTGCAAGAAAAAAAGTCAGAATTGTGGGATATAAACTCACAATTGCAAGAAAAAAGTCAGAATTGTGGGATATAAACTTACAATTGCAAGAAAACAGTCAGAATTGTGGGATATTAACTCACAATTGCAAGAAAAAAGTCAGAATTGTGGGATATAAACTTACAATTGCAAGAAAAAAGTCAGAATTGTGGGATTTAAACTCACAATTGCAAGAAAAAAGTCAGAATTGTGGGATATAAACTTACAATTGCAAGAAAAAAGTCAGAATTGTGGGATATAAACTCACAATTGCAAGGAAAAAGTCAGAATTGTGGGATATAAACTCACAATTGCAAGAAAAAAGTCAGAATTGTGGGATATAAACACATTTGCAAGAATAAAGTCAGAATTGTGGGATATAAACTCACAATTGCAAGGAAAAAGTCAGAATTTAAAAAAGTCAGAGTTTATATCTCGCAATTGAGAAAAAAGTCAGAATTGTCGGATATAAACTCACAATTGCAAGAAAAAAGTCAGAATTGTGGGATATAAACTCACAATTGCAAGAAAAAAGTCAGAATTGTGGGATATAAACTTACAATTGCAAGAAAAAAGTCAGAATTGTGGGATATAAACTCACAAATGCAAGAAAAAAGTCAGAATTGTGGGATATAAACTCACAAATGCAAGGAAAAAGTCAGAATTGTGGGATATAAACTTACAATTGCAAGAAAAAAAAAAGTCAGAATTGTGGGATATAAACTCACAAATGCAAGGAAAAAGTCAGAATTGTGGGATATAAACTTACAATTGCAAGAAAAAAAAAGTCAGAATTGTGGGATATAAACTCACAAATGCAAGGAAAAAGTCAGAATTGTGGGATATAAACTCACAATTGCAAGAAAAAAGTCAGAATTGCGAGTTTTTTCTCACAATTGCAAGAAAAAAAGTCAGAATTATGGGATATAAACTTACAATTGCAAGAAAAAAAGTCAGAATTGTGGGATATAAACTCACAATTGCAAGAAAAAAAGTCAGAATTGTGGGATATAAACTCACAATTGCAAGAAAAAAAGTCAGAATTGTGGGATATAAACTTACAATTGCAAGAAAAAAAGTCAGAATTATGGGATATAAACTTACAATTGCAAGAAAAAAAGTCAGAATTGTGGGATATAAACTCACAATTGCAAGAAAAAAAGTCTAAATTGCAAGTTTCTCAGAATTGCGAGTTTTTTCTCACAATTGCAAGAAAAAAAAGTCAGAATTGTGGGATATAAACTCACAATTGCATGAAAAAAAGTCAGAATTGTGGGATATAAACTTACAATTGCAAGGAAAAAGTCAGAATTTAAAAAAGTCAGAGTTTATATCTCGCAATTGAGGAAAAAAGTCAGAATTGTGGGATAAAGTCAGAAATACATATTTTTTTTATTCTGTGGAAACAAACTTCCATAAATATGCATCACTGAGAAAGAACAAGATGCTAGAAATGACGTTTGCGAGATTCATGGCATCAAATGTTCGAAAAGTGCGGCCAAGATAGCAAAGTTGCCCCGAATGCTTTTCTACTCACCCTTGCACACTCTCCTTTGCCAAAGATCTGCGGTATCGTCCCGTAAAGTGCTTGCAGAGTCATGAGGCCCTTAGCAGCGTGATACAGGCTTGTCTGATCATTCTCTAAATAACACTCCTTCACACACACACAAAAAAAAAACAAGTTACATAAACGTTGCTCATGGATATGTCGGCTTTATATTGCATATAAAACATGGTCATATCATACACTTTTGATTTTTTCCCTGAGTACAGAACATCTGGGATAGATTTACATTGGATCTCCTAAGATAAGAACATTTTTTGATGCGTAATTTCTAATGATTTTTCAAAAAGTCTATGACAAATAACAGCTGCTTTCCCAGAACAAAGTTTGACAAACCTTTGCTGTTGTAAAGTCACACATTTTAGAATGAGACATTTTTGTAGCTTAGCTTTACTAAATCGTGTTTTTGATTGAATATGCCGTCTAAAAATCAAAATAACAGAAAGTCCAACTCTGATTAAAAAACAAATAAATAAAAGACGATTCAATTGTTCATAATATGATCCATGAAGACTAAAATTTAATCTTTTAAAATGTTTTCATTTCTTAATATGATGTATCTGTATTATTATTCTTTATTAATATTCATAATCATAATCAGTTGTATTATCTTGTGGAGTTTTAAATGCATGAGTTTGAATGCACGAAGAGATTATAGATAGCATGGATCTATGTGAGGAACACATGTCAGACAGAGGGAAGCTATATTTTGCTTAGAGGTATGTGTGCAATGTAACATGTTCACTGAGCATAGATGTTTCGATTGATGCAAATGTACCATGTGTGTGTATGACATATGTTCCATTTTAAGTTCAAGCAACATGTTTTGTTACCTTACAAGGCAGTTGAAAGTCTCTCTGTGATGTATATAAGCTCAAACTAACTATACTGACTCAGAGAAACAAGGAAACGCATAGACTTGGCAATGGCATAAATACATCATCTTCAAAAAGTTTCTCTCCTGACTCCTGACATATAAGAATAAAGATTTTTCTTGGCAAGATAACTGGTGTCCTAGCCTGGGTAAACCCAGACAACTTCCGGCAAATTTAGATTTGCTCTGAAAGTTAGTCTGGTAAAGAGCTCATTCAAGCCCATTTCCAATCCGTCGAAATCGAGGCACCAATCAGAAGCGTTGGGGCGGGCTTTACACGATGACGACAGCGCTGGGATTTTGAAGCAGATTTTGTAGCCTACATTACAAAGATGGATGCCGCCGTCGAACATCACTCGTTCGAATCAGCTATCGCGTCTGTTTTAAGCCATTTGAACGTTTCCTTTTAGTTAAAAACCGAGCAAAGAACAACACTCGGAGATGTTTCTCCGCCGCTCTGCGTACGTCATCTCCTTCATCGCTCTGATTGGGTTTAGGTCTATCCGCGACGTCCGTTGGTGACGCACCTCTGGAAATGATTTGTCTATGACGCTTTGCCAGACCATAACTCAGTTACAACTGAGAATGGTCAGAGAATGTCTAATTGAAGAGAATTGGCACTGACTGGTTACTTCCAGTTTCTGGACTGGCTGCAGTAACACGTCTCTGTCCATGCGGGGGCGCTCGCAGGCGAGTGCAGAATGAATGGGAGTCTATGGGGTTTCACCCACAAAAATCCACTTTTCTCAGGATGTAATTTTTTGTAGGGATGTCACGATCCGATGACGCGATCGGAAATCGGGCCCGATCACGTGGTTTCAGACTCGATCGGAATCGGACGTTACCTCCCGATCAGGACTCGGATATATGTAAAGGGGTGTAACGGTACATGTATTCGTAATTATTGAACCGTTTGCTTCCGAGGCTTTAAACGAGGCTTCCGGTTCGGTACGCATACAAACCGAACGATTCCTAGGACCATTTTTCCTGCAGACAAAATCCGCGCTGGCGCGATCACCACACCGTTGCGCAACATCAAATGGCAAACGTAATGAAAGCGGAACGAAACTGCGCTACTCATTATATTGTGCTTCACGGACCATATCAGTTCGGACCAGCAACATCTGTGCAGCGCGAGATCAAGCGACACTGTGCTAAGAGATCCAGTGAAGAAAACATTTGAGTTCGCCACTGAAGTAATAACATCGCTGCGAGATCTAGTGAGAAGCATTCACATTTCTCCGTTATTAACCGTAGATGTCTATTAGATCAAACAGCGCTGACGTGGGAACCAGGAGAAACATTGTGCCGTGAATGAACATGGATGCACTTCAAAACTCAAATATTATATAAATATATATTTAAATGTTATTTTTAATGTGATTACCAAAACATTATTTGTTCATCCTTCAAAGATTACCCCCATTTATAAACCTGAAAGTTTCAAGATGTAGGAAAACTCAAACTTATTTAAAAATAGTTTTTCTTTTAATAAATAGGAAATTTCTCTGCCATCATATCGAACCGCAAATTCTGTGAACTGTTACACCCCTAATGTATATATTCTCATAAATTTTTTTATACACTTTTAATACATTTTTATTTTTTATTTACATCCCTGCCGGGTATTTTGAGTTGAGGTGCTATTTGTTTTTATATTAGACTTTTTCTATATTTACTGTTGCACTAAAGTCCAAAAGTGAAGATTTTATGTTATTTATTACTTGATTGTTCAAGCTACCTCACAGAAGTGCTCTGTTTGTTAACAGAGTTGTTGAATGTTAAAATAAGGTGAATTAAATAAAAAATAAGGAACATCCTGGATCTGTTTTTTCTCTCTTCTTTATTCTTTTTTTATGTATTATATAAGTATCGCATCGGGACTCGGTATCGGTAGATACTCAAAATCAAATGACTCGGAGGCAAAAAAACCTGATCGGGACATCCCTAATTTTTTGTCAAGTAATTTGAAAGTTGCATTCAAAAGGGAGGGCTAAGATAATACACTCAGCTGAAAATTGCATTTTTAAGTTCACTTATCTGTTCTAAAAACCCGTTCAAAAATGTGATGACGTCACATAATAGCAGAATGCTAGCGTGTTCCGGCCAACAACGGCCTAACCTGTAAGAAATCGAAAGGACATAAGTACTCGTTCATTCGACTTTTGACCTATAATCTATATTGAACTTGCGGAATCAACAATAAAATCTATGTTGATTCAACGACAAGCAGGAGAAAGAGATACATTTAGCCGTTTAGCTCCATAGACTCCCATTCATTCTGCACTTGCCCGCGATCACCTCCAGTGGAACTCTAATGGAACTGCAACCAAGATGATACACAATGGGGCTAATAGGAAGTTTTAAAACTAAAGTTTTAAGTTTTAACCAGGCTACAGGTCCTGTGCATCAAATAGCAACGGGGAAAGGCTTAATTCCAAGTCTACAATCCCATATGACTGAATATGCCCATATTTTGCATCCATTGATGTTTATAGCCAAAATCGGAATAACCCTAAATCAGAAAACCTTCAGGATATGAACACAAACCCAGAATATGTAACGTTAAGGGATAATGTATAGCGAGGCGGTGAGCGTCGGGGTTGTATTCGCTATAACAACCGCCTCGCTATACATTATCCCGCTTATTACATGGCTACCTACCAAATAAATCAATAATTTGACACAAAATATTGATTTAAAAAGAAGTTTATTGATTTAAAACCGATCGTATTGCTTCCGCTAAAGAAAATAGTCCGTTCGGTCTCTGAACTGCGTCCATGGCAACGCTCTGTTTTTCATGGCAACGGTGTGTTATACTTAGCAGCGGTCGGTCGGTTATCAAGAAATAACAGACCGCATTCTACATTAGAGTTCAACCAAGCCATGTAATAAGTGACATTAAAACATCGTCTTACCCTAAATGAGCTCTCAGACTCCATGGAAAGAAGGTCTCCATCATAAGGTATAAGGTCCAGAATGTACTCGTCGATGTTTGTGAACGAGTTAAGAACCCCTTTCTCCTTCAGACGCTGCTCACACAGGAGACTCCGGCGAGGCACAAACAGAATATGGAAATCTCGGGGCTGTAATTTATCCTCACTGCAATGCAAATATTACAAAGCATCATCAGCAAGGCTGCATTACAGCCACTGACGACTAATTAAAATATCTGTTATGAAAGTTATTGTGGGAGCACCTATCGTCTCAAATTGAAAATCAGCACATTTTATGAAAACTTCATAATACACTCCTTAAAAAAATAAAAAGGATCCAAAAGGTTTTTATGGAGAAGCTTTCAGTTATCAGTTCTTAAAATTACAATTTTTTTCCATTTTAATAATCTAAATAACCTTTTTTTCTACTATAAACAACCTTTTGTGAAACGGAAAGATTAAATCGATGTTAAAGGTTCTTCATTGAACCATTAAATCAAATAAGAGCTTTTATTTTTAAGTGTGATGAAATCTCTTTGTATTTGTTTAGATTTTATTAGACTTTTTATTCCAAATCGTCCTAGGCCATTTGTTCAGTTTAATGCTGCACACTCTTACCAAAAAAAACTCAGATTCAGCAAATTTGATGGATTGTTTTGTTCTTTATAGAAATGAGACTTACCTTGCAACATTTTCTGCAATGATGTCCATCAATTCCAACCTCGGTCGGACAAAAAAGACAATATTCTTGACGGCAGCCGATGGTATACGACCCCCTTTGAGAGTGAACATTTTCTCGACCTCATGTTCCTTTTTAATAAATTAAATTAAGACAATCACCTTCTTGACAAGGAATAAAATAATACTCAAACCACGTAAATGGTAAGAAAAATGTAAAGGGCAAATGTCACCAGTGTTTATGAAATTATATACATATAGATACAGTATAGACACAGTACCGGTCAGAAGTTTGGAAACATTACTATTTTTAATGTTTTTGAAAGAAGTCTCTTATGCTCATCAAGCCTAAATTTATTTGATTAAAAGTACAGAAAAAATAATGGTTTTCTATTTTAATATACTTTAAAATATAATTTATTCCTGTGATCAAAGCTGAATTTTCAGCATCATTACTCCAGTCTTCAGTGTCACATGATCCTTCAGAAATCATTCTAATACGATGATTTATTATCAATGTGATATTTTTTATAACCTGTGATACTTTTTCAGGATTCTTTGATGAATAAAGAGTTAAAAAAACAGCATTTATTTCAAATAAAAATATATTTTAAAAATATATACACTAACGTTCAAAAGTTTGGGGTCAACGATTTTTTCTTCTTTTCTGAAAGAAAGTATTTATTTTATTTAACAATGATGTATTAAATCGATAAAGTGATAGTAAAGATTTATATTGTTAGAGAAGGTTTCTATTTGGAATAAATGCAGTTCTTTTTTAAACTTTTTGTTCATCTAAGAATCCCGGAAAAAAAAATCACAGGTTCCAAAAAAATATTAAGGAGCACAACTGTTTCCAACATTAATAATAACGGAGTATCAAATCAGCATAGAACGATTTCTGAAGGATCATGTGACACTAAAGTAATGATGCTGAAAATCCAGCGTTGTATCACAGAAATACATTATATTTTAAAGTATATTAAAATTGAAAAGCATTATTTTAAATTGTAATAATATTTCACAATATTACAGTTTTTTCTGTATTTTTGATCAAATAAATGCATGCTTGACGAGCATAAGATATATATGTGCACTCACTACAGTATATGTGTATTTTTTGGTACAATTTGTGTACAGTTTCTCACCTTCAAAAGGGAATATTGAGCAATTAACCCGAAAGGTCCAGTAAGATACTCGTCCCAAACAATGGCCTTATTAAAAACAACAACACATGAATTAGCTAAACGATGACGACACGTTACATCCAATGACAGTATCGCTGAACAGTATTTGCAGTAATAATACTTGTTCAATTATACAACAATAACAATAACTGCACTTCGAGTTTACAGGGAAGTAGATTTGAATAAGAGTGACAGCAGAAGAATGGCTACTCTGCATGTTTATTAAAGCAAAAAGCTTTACCTTGCTTCCCGAACATTTATCTAAAAATTCACGCAGGTCTTTTCGTGCAGCCTCTCTCAAAATATTTAGGTTTACTCTGCCACAAAACAAATGCGACGCCATATTCGTTAAATCGCAATCATATGACTTTCACGGCCTCATGATGTCACGTGAATCGTCTTTAAAAAAAATAACAATAAAAGCCAGCAGATGTAAATATTATTACTCCAGTTCCCACTATACTTTTATAAAATTTAATTATTTTTTAAATATCTATATTTTATTACAGGATTCGTTTATTTTCTCTAAAAATTGGATTGTGTTTTTTTTATTGTTATTGGATTAATCGCGAGGACTTTTACACGCGCGTCATCACTGGTTGCCAAATCCACGAGTTTTCGACATTTGTTTTGCATGTCATTCCGAGTTATTTGTTGTAAAAAAAAAAAACTGTTGTCCTGGTATAGATCTAAAAAAAGGGCAATATACCAAGATTGTGAATAACTGTAGTGTTATGTAAACGCGTGACAGTGGACTGGTATTTAAACATATGTTCCCTGTCAAAGATCTGGCAACGTCTCTGGCAGAAGCGAACGCGTTTCTGAAGTTCGAGTTCATCATCAGTTCAAGGCAAGCGAGTCGAAAATGCTGCGCACGGTTTGTTCCCGAACTTTTCCACAAGTTTTTCGTATCTCAGCATGTCAGCATTCAACGATTCCTGCACCGAACATTCACCCAGACGTTCACTACAACAAGGTAATGGCCAAAATGCTGGGACTTTAATGCACATTAATGTAGGTAGGTTGTGACTTGTCTCGTGTTGCTAATATTCTAACTCACGTCTTAATTAAACGTTTTCAATCGTATCATTACGCTGATAGTTGCGTAATATTTTCATGTCCCTTAAACGTCTCTGTCGTCGAATCCTTGCATTTAAATGTATGTGACATTAGTTTAACTGTTTAACAAACTTGGCATGTTTTCAAACCCCGCCTCCATCACGAAAGTGCCATTCCCTGTTTACCTTACCTTATCTTCTTCCTCTCTCTCTCTCTCTCTCTCTCTCTCTCTCTCTCTCTCTCTCTCTCTCTCTCTCTCTCTCTCTCTCTCTCTCTCTCTCTCTCTCTGTATGTGTGTGTGGGCGCTTCACTGTTTGGTCAATGCAGTATCTTTGCAGTTAATATTGAGCTTGTACATCAGTCATCAACTTTTTGAAGTTGGTACAAATAATTTCATTATAATTTGGGCAGGTGGTTAAGAAGTGCAGCTCTGTTTTCATGAATTAAAGTTAGAATTGTCTATCTTTTTTAAAGTGAATTTTACATAATAAATCTATTTAAAAAAAAAAGAATACCATATACTCCAAAACTGCACAAATGCAGAGTAAAAAGTTAAACATTAATCAAGTCAAGTGAGTAATATTACATTTGTTTTGTATTGTTACAACATCACATTTTAAGATGAAGGTGATGCTGATGCAGATAGCAGAGAATAGACTGAGTGAGAATATTATAGGTGTATATTAATATAACAGAATGATAACTAGTTGAGCAAAGATGCAATGTTGGTTGGTGATTATATTATAAATAATATCTGATGTTTTTGTTCACATTTATTTTGAAGATTTCCCATTGTGTGGCATGCAGTGCACTTCTTGTAATGTTGCTTTTTTCACTGGAATATACTTGCAACTAATTGAAATAGTTTTGACACACTTATCATAGAATTATCTGATGATGCATCATATTATGCAACAAGTTATCGCATACCACATGTTTCCTCCATATCATGCATCCTTAGTTTTAGCTGTCATAATTTACTGCCATTCCCATCATGTAAATATTTGCCTTATTGTTTTTATTCATTGATTTAAAAAAAAAAAATCACACTTTTTTTTCTCTGCAGATTTTCATTAACAATGAGTGGCACGACGCAGAAAGCAAGAGAACCTTTCCGACCATCAATCCTGCTACTGGTGAAGTTATCTGCCAAGTCGCAGAGGGGGATAAGGTAGATGTTTGAATTATTACGTTTATATTGAAAGAATAATAAATGTCTTAAACCAACTGGTTTGCTGGTCTTGGCTAAGGTAAGGTCGTGTCTGTAAACCGGCTGAACATCAAGATCTTTCTCTCTCTATACAATTCAATGAAGCAACATGATCGCTTTGTGTTAGGAATAGACCTACATTTAAGTTATTCAGTGAAAATCTTTCACTCCAGTGACAAAAGTTTAAAATTATTAGTATGTATTATTAAGGTCTGTTTTACTGTCAATAATGTGGTATAATGTACAAGTTTGGGGACTCTTGTGTTACAGTACAATCCATCTTTAATTATTTTATTATTTAAACAAACATAATAAGATGTGAACATTGTTGAAATAATGTTAATGAAGCAGAATAATTCAGGTAAGTGTGACTATATGTATATTATATATATATGGGGCAAAAGTGTCAATGTCAAGGAATATTTTATACAAACGACTTTCTAATCCGGTTTTTGCATATATATAAAAAAAAGGGAAACGAGGGATAAGTACAAATGATTATGTACACAACAGTAGTATTCACCAGATAAAGTTGAAGAAGTCGACATGTAGAGCTCTTTTAAAAAATTCAAATCTAAAATCATACTTTATTTGATTTATTTATATTCTCTGTAAATGAGAATAGACAGGACCATGCCTTGAACAAACACCAGCTCTCACTGCATCGGCTTGACTTTCCTACACCAGAGATAAAGCGGGAGCTGGAATTAAAAATAGCATGTTTATTTAACACACATCAGATATCCTGCTTAAACTAAATGGACATAATGTAATAAGCATAACTTAATAAAGGCTCTGGCATGAACTCCACTGACACCGTGTGCTTGAAAGTGGATGATGGATTCTTGCATGAAACTTTCAGTCTATGTTTCTTTATTCCCTGATGGCATGAATGAAGAACTAGAACTGCTTTTTTTTCTTTTCTGTGTGGTTATTGTCTTATATGCATTGTTTTTATACTATTTTTTTGTTGTTTCTATTATTGAATACTTGTAATATTTTATCATGCATGCCTATTATCATTGTACTTGTGATAAATAATTTCAGCTGATGATGACCCCTAATTGCTAATTTACCAACAAAAGGCTGAATATTTGTTGCAGAGTGAGCACTGAAGATAGCAATGTGCCTAAACGTTTGTTCTTGTTCATTTGTTTTTAATTCACTTCATTCACAAATGTTTTGATAGACTTCTGTAGTGTGTACTGAATTCAGTCAGTGTGCGGCCAGCCTCCTCCTTGCTCGGTTTAGTCTATGTTCCTCTCCCATGTTTGTCGTTTTGCTTCCAGGCGGACGTGGAAAAAGCGGTCCAGGCTGCCAAACATGCCTTTAAGCTGGGCTCTCCCTGGAGACGCATGGATGCGTCGGACCGCGGGCTGCTCTTGAGCCGATTAGCAGACTGCATAGAGAGAGATTCTGCCTATTTAGCTGTGAGTCTCTCAAACAACCTTTGCCCTGAATGCTGCCGTATTTGAGCTGATTTATTGTATGCATGAAAGCATATTTTTAGTATGCTTCTGGCCAATCAGAGACTAGGAGTCAGAAAAAGGTCTCACTTTTATGAATTATACAAATCACAATGCCTTTCAGGAGACTGTAAATTGGATTATATATATATATTGGGGGGGGGGTTTGGGGGGGGGGGGGTCACTTTTTCACCCACTGCATGCTTATGACTTAATTGTTTTCCAGTGATTTGTCTAATTGACTCAGATGAAGTTTCAGAAAGTCTTTCGCAGAAGTGCCCCTATTATGCTCTTTCAGATATTACCTTTCATTTTGTGTGTTATATAGATTTTTGTGAAAGTAAAATGTCTGCAAAGTTTCAAAAATCAAAGTGCAGATAAATAGAGTTATTGTCTCCTAAAAGAAGTGATTCTGAACTGAAACGAGTCGTCAGTAACTCCAGTCTTGATTCCTGCTTAAACCTACGTAGGTTTTTAACAAATCTGGATATGCTCTTCATTGGCTGCCCGTGAACTACGTCACCTTTGACCCTCAAACACTGTAGTTGCAGCTGAGACTGGAAGAGTTTGGTTTGTGTTGTTCATGTTGAGAAGAAGCTGTTTTCTGCTGACAAAGCAAATCCACTTTAATACACTTCTAAAGGATGAGACTCGCGCTGGAATTGTTACAGTAAAACCGACGCCTGTTACTGTTCATATCGCTGTGTATCAAGTGTGAGGAACATCCGGAGCTGAAATTCAGATATGCTAATGGATGTTTGGTTTCCGACACGTGTTGTAAGCGTAGACCAATCACAACAGGCTGGGGCGTCTGACCAATCAGAGCAAAGTAGACTAATTACAACAAACTGGCTCCCCATCTGACCAATCAGAGCAGGCTTTAGGAAAGGCGGGGTTTATCGAGACTGAACCCTTGATCGAAGCTTTTCAGACACTGTGAGAAAAGAGCTGATGCTGCAATGTATATTATGAGAAAATTAAAGTGTTTTTTGACCTTGAATGCATGTAAACTTATTGTTGAAGACCTGCAAAAAACAAATTAGGAACCTTTAAAATACTTTGTAGCATAATAGAGGCACTTTAAGAAATGGTACAAAATCCTTAAAACATATTTGAACAAGGAAACAGAATAACAAGTATTGAGCACTAGAAAATATTATACATGAGAAAGCAAACAAGATTATACATTCGATTGCAGACAAAGACAGTCTAAACACTACTAAGTATAATGTTTACTAGTTCAATATTAAAGTGTTGTGTAATTTTATGGAAAGTCCATTGTGATGTTTAGTTGGAGACAAAATTAGTTAACACTTTATTTTACAGTGTCCTTGTTACATGTACTTGCTATAGTAATGACTATAAATCATGCATAATTATATGCAAATAACCCTCGTCCGAACCCTAATCCTATAGTAAGTACATGTAGTTAATACTACTCAAATAACAGGGACACCTTAAAATAAAGTGTATCCCACTATTACTTTTGGTTCCCTGCTATAATTTTTTTATATATATATATATTTTTTTTATATATATATATATATTATAATTTAATGCTAATAACACACTGTTAGTTCATGGGTCCTGTCAACCTCATTTAAAACATTCTTTCATTGTTAAATGCCATTTGAAACATATCAGTTATACATATCTGTAAAAAATGTACTCTTGATTGTATTAATTCTACAATAATACCACCATATGTTAAAATTATTTGTATTTTGTTTCAATAGGAGCTAGAGACTCTTGACAATGGGAAACCGTATGCGGTCTCCTACAGCGTGGACGTGCCCATGGTGGTCAAATGCTTGAGGTGAACTTGTTGTCCTCATGGTGGTTTGTCCACAGTGTTTTCTAGTTAAAACGGACATTTCCTTAAAGGGTTAGTTCACCCAAAAATGATGTCATTAATGACTCTCCGTCATGTCGCTCCAAGCCCGTCAGACCTCCGTTCATCTTCAGAACACAGTTTAAGATATTTTAGATTTAGTCCGAGAGCTTTCTGTCCCTCCATTGAAAATGTATGTACGGTATTCTGTCCTTGTCCAGAAAGGAAATAAAGACATCATCAAAGTAGTCCATGTGACATCAGTGGGTTAGTTAGAGTGTGTTGAAGCATCGAAAATACATTTTGCTCCAAAAATAACAAAAACTAGGACTTTATTCAGCATTGTATTGTCTTCCGGTTCTGTTGTGGATCCGCGTTCAGTGCCGCCGCTGACGTAAGACGCTGCTGACGTGTGTCTGGTGTGTGTGTGTGTCTGTGTCAGGTGTGTGTGTGTGTCTGGTGTGTGTGTGTGTGTGTGTGTGTGTATTCCGGTTCTGTTGTGGATCCGCGTTCAGTGCCGCTGCTGACGTAAGACGCTGCTGACGTGTGTCTGGTGTGTGTGTGTGTGTGTGTGTATTCTGGTTCTGTTGTGGATCCGCGTTCAGTGACGCCGCTGACGTAAGACGCTGCTGACGTGTGTCTGGTGTGTGTGTGTGTGTGTGTGTCTGGTGCGCCCGAGCTTCGTTTACAGTCTGAGGGAGACGCACGCTGGAAACCAAACAATCTTCACAAACATGTCTAAGGATTTCCACACAAAGGAAGACTTGCATTTCTTTGCCCAGCCATATTTATTTGAACCCGAATACACGGACGCACCAGACACACGTCAGCAGCGTCTTACGTCAGCGGCGTCACTGAACGCGGATCCACAACAGAACCAGAATACACACACACACACACACACACACACACACACACACACCAGACACACGTCAGCAGCGTCTTACGTCAGCGGCGGCACTGAACGCGGATCCACAACAGAACCAGAATACACACACACACACACACACACCAGACACACGTCAGCAGCGTCTTACGTCAGCGGCGGCACTGAACGCGGATCCACAACAGAACCAGAATACACACACACACACACCAGACACACGTCAGCAGCGTCTTACGTCAGCGGCGGCACTGCACGCGGATCCACAACAGAACCAGAATACACACACACACACACACACACACACACCAGACACACGTCAGCAGCGTCTTACGTCAGCGGCGGCACTGAACGCGGATCCACAACAGAACCAGAATACACACACACACACACACACACACACACACACACCAGACACACGTCAGCAGCGTCTTACGTCAGCGGCGGCACTGAACGCGGATCCACAACAGAACCAGAATACACACACACACACACACCAGACACGCGTCAGCAGCGTCTTACGTCAGCGGCGGCACTGAACGCGGATCCACAACAGAACCAGAATACACACACACACACACACCAGACACGCGTCAGCAGCGTCTTACGTCAGCGGCGGCACTGAACGCGGATCCACAACAGAACCGGAAGACAATACAATGCTGAATAAAGTCCTAGTTTTTGTTATTTTTGGACCAAAATGTATTTTCGATGCTTCAACACACTCTAACTAACCCACTGATGTCACATGGACTACTTTGATGATGTCTTTATTTCCTTTCTGGACAAGGACAGAATACCGTACATACATTTACAATGGAGGGACAGAAAGCTCTCGGACTAAATCTAAAATATCTTAAACTGTGTTCTGAAGATGAACGGAGGTCTGACGGGCTTGGAGCGACATGAGGGAGAGTCATTAATGACATTTTAATTTTTTGGTGAACTAACCCTTTAATATTTCCATTATATAATAATGATTGCAATACAGTAATCACTTGAAGTCCTGTCTCTATTACATTTGGACGTTACTAATCACGTCTGAGCAGTTTTACAGCACTCACAAAAATATTTAGCCCTAAATTTAAGATTTATTTATTTGAAACCATATGAAATTTCCGTACATTTGGATTACACCATTTGACATAAATTAATAAACATAATTTCTGAGTACTAATAAACTGAATGTGTTTTAAAATACAAACCAGGTTTATATATTTATCATCAATAAATCCAGGTTAAATCTCATACATTTTTAAACTGAATATTGCGTTTTCCACAATTAGCCATATTTTAACCATGTGCATACTTTTTTACTGAATAAATGTAATTGTTTTCACAATTAACAGATTTATTCTGATTTTAAGCAATTTGAATAAATGCATTTTTTAAATATGATTATTTAAATAAAATCAAACATATTAAAATAGTTAATAATAAACTATGGCATAATATTTTGAGTTTCATTTATGTATTTTTTATAGCGCTTTTCACATTACATATTGTTTCAAAGCAGCTTTCCAGAAAATATGCATCCCATTAAGTTTATTTAATTATGTGTAGTATGTGTAATGGGTGGAATTTTTTATACGCAATTCAAATACATAAATCTAAATTTACTGCCTTAATAGCCAAGTTGATTGTACTTGAAAAATTTAAGCCATATCTTAAATTACATTAAACTGACTTAAATTGAATCTTGAATCGAGTTGAATCTTGTATAACTTACAAAAAAGGTAAAAAATTGCTTAACTTGTTTGGATGAGTTAAAGTAGCCTAATATAAAAATAAATGTTGTTGTAACTTATTGGGCAAATCATTCTTTACAATGTAGGCCTAAATGTTTCTTGAGTGAGTTATATATTTCTTTGTTGCATTACATAATGAATCTCTTAAATGGTTATTCTATTTTTGAGCTATTTTCATTCTTTTCAAAATAAAACAAAAAATATTTAGACATTGCCTTCAGAAATGGCATATACTATGTTGTGGTCTGCATCATATCACGCTTTATCATCTGTAATCCGATGATTTCAGTTGTTCCAAAGGCTGTTTATAGTGACTAGTGTGCATTAAATCTGATAAAGTGGGTGAATTCAATCAGAAGCTCTGAACTCTTTTTTTTGTGTTGTGTGTGTGTGTGTTGGTTGTTGTTTGGTTTTTAGGTATTATGCTGGCTGGGCAGACAAATGGGAAGGGAAGACCATTCCAATTGATGGTGATTACTTTTGCTACACAAGGCATGAGCCTGTAGGAGTGTGTGGCCAAATTATCCCTGTAAGTAGATGCTTTTGGAGTTTCAGAATGCAATGTGTATTTGCCGAGTAATATAATATACAGTCAAACCCAAAATTATTCAGACCCCAGATATAATTTTTGACTTTTTTTTATAAATTTTGACTTTGGGGTTTTCATTAGCTGTAAGCCATAATCATCGAAATTATAACAAGTAAAGCCTTGAAATATCTCACTTTGCATGTAATGAATCTATATAATAGATTAGTTTCACCTTTTAAGTTGAATTACTGAAATAAATGAACTTTTGCACGATATTCTAATTTTTCGAGTTTCACATGTATATTGTGATATATATTGATATTGAATTATTGTCCAGCCATACAGTAGTTTGCCTGTACTTCTGTCTTTCACATGTCGTCTTCTCTGGATTGTGTGTTTCTTCCAGTGGAACTTCCCTCTGTTGATGCAGGCCTGGAAGCTCGGCCCGGCTCTGGCTACGGGGAACACGGTGGTGATGAAGGTGGCGGAGCAAACGCCACTCACTGCCCTTTATATCGCCAGCCTGATCAAGGAGGTGACTGGCATGCCTACTGTATATTTGCACACTGAGGAAAATCCTAATTGCAAAATCATGTTTATAGGAACACGCCGACGTTTTTTGGGACTTCACCGTATCCCCCAGAGTTAGATAAGTCCATACATGCCCTTCTCATCGCGGTGCGTGCCGTAACTCTGTCTGACGCACCCACCACTAGCCTAGCTTAGCACAAAGACTGGAAGTAAATGGCTCCAGCTAGCATACTGCTCCCAATAAGTGACAAAATAACGTCAATCACATGTTATGATTTGTATAGTACAAATAACAAGGTCACATGAAAGGGACACAGCCATCTTCTAACCGTATACATACTGGGAACTATATTCTCAGGAGGCGAAGCACTGCTACTTGGGCGGAGTGATTAGCGCAACACCTGAAAAGCACCGTTGTTACTTCCGTCAACAAAACCAATGTGACTAGCTAGCTAGTAGCGAACGTGACTGGTGATCTCAGGTGCTGCGAGCAAATCTCTCCGCCCAAGTAGCAGTGCTTCGCCTTCTGAGAATATAGTCTTATTATGCATTATAACAAATGCCTACGGCCTGGTGTTGTTACACTTAACAGCAGATCAAATCCTTGTTTAATATTGGCCAAACAACATTTAATTCAAGTGTCCACTTAATCTTTAATATTTGGCCATTTCTTTACGATATAAATGTTACAGCCACTGTAATTTCTTGAACATGAACATGTGGGCATCAAAACATGCAAACTCAGAGCAAAGTTTAGATGGATTTTTTTTAATGTATTGATGTATTCTCCTGTGTTGGAGTAGGTTTATAAATGATTTACGTTACAAATCTGATGAAATGGCACACATTGCGTTCCCAGGTGAACGTTATAAGCAACCCAAACTCAGAGCACATGCAGAGATGGAGTTTGAGACTATCATGTAAATGATAACAGTTCATGTGGAGGAGTAGCATTTACTGTGAACAAGATGCACGTAACCTACATGCATGTAAATAATTAAAGTGCATATATATTAAACATGCAGGGCATACACTACCGTTCAAAAGTTTGGGGTCGGTACGATTTTAAATACTTTTAAAAGAATTCTCTTCTGCTAACCATGGCTGCGCTTATTTGATTAAAAATACAACAAAAATCAGTTATAGTATTAAATATTATTCCAGTGTAAATCAGCTGTTTTCTGTGTGAATATATAGTAAAGTGTAATTTATTCCTGTGATCAAAGCTGAATTTTCAGCATCACCAGTGTCAGTGTCTTCAGTGTCAAATGATCCTTCACAAATCAGTATAATATGAGGATTTGATGCTCAAGAAACATTTATTATTATTATCAATGTTGAAACAGTTGTTGGTCTGTCAGTTGTACAGTTTTTTTGTTGTTTTTTAGGATTCTTTGATGAATAGGAAGTTCAAAAGACTTTTTTTTAACATTATAAATGTCTTTACTGTCACTTTCGATCAAATTAATTATTCCTTGATAAATAAAAGTATTGATTTCTTTCCTACAAAAAATAAAAATAAAATTCTCACTGCCCCCAAACTTTTGAACGGTAGTGTATATTTATTGAATTGAATCGCAGTTTTTGAAAATTCACAATAGCACTATGCTATAGGATGGGTTTAATACATTGTGCAGCCTTAGAAAACATTGAGCAGCCACTTCCAGTATTCCAGGGACTTTAAAAATTGAATACTCAAATTTAATAGAGGAATTGTGACAGCCCTAAAAATTAATGTTAAAGGTGCAGTGTGTGATTTTTAGCGGCATCTAGCGGTTCGGTTGCGAGTTTGCACTAATGGCTCCGCCCACTGCTCACCCCTCCCTTCCGAAGAAGCTACGGTGGCTCAAACGGGACAAACATATCGTCGTCTGAGACAGCAGAGAATAGCCAGAGTAAGCCAAGTTTCTGTACCACAGTCCATTATAAACCACATCATGGATAAAGTTTACAAAGCCATAGTCAGGTGAGGATCAAGGGTCTTAATATATAATATAATAATAGTAATCAGCTGATTGTCTCACAAACGTAACCAGCACATTTCTCCCCACATAGCAAACCCATAATACAGCGAGGGAGAAGAACCAATTGAAACTATGCAACTATATATGTTTTCTAACAGGGTAGTAAAAGTTTAGCTGGCTAATATGAGCTGTTACTGTGGCTGAGCTGGTTAAAGCGTAAAGCCTTGTTTAAACTCGACGCGTCCGCATGAGCCCAAAGGTGCGCGCGGCAAAAATGACATGATTGTAACAGCGCGCGCGCCTCCGCATCCCCTAGACACCACTTACTACACACAATTAGGGTTGGGTATCGTTTGGGTTTTATCCGATTCCAGTACCTACTCGGTGTTTTTTAAACGGTTCCGGTGCTTAAACGGTTCTTAAATCGGTACTTAAGAAAATGAAACCGCACACACTTTATCAAAAAATAATACCCTTTAATTTACAGGGCCAAACTGGACACAATATTAACTTAAATCTTTAAACAATATAAATACAAGTAACATATGGTAATAATAAAACCAATATAAAATAAAAATTCATATTTACATAATATCAAATGAAACAATATTGTATCAAACAATGTAATAATACTGGAGATTAATAGAGATTACTAGCAGGCAGAGCTGCCAACTCTCACGCATTGACCGTGAGACTCACGCAAATGACCCTTTTCACACAGAAAAAATCGCGGACAAAGAGGACACGGACAGACAAGACCGAGAAGGTTACTTTTGATATGGAACAAATCCACAGCTGTCAGATTCTGTCCATATTTTTACGAGATTCACACAATAAATAACGTTTTGGCTCTTTGAAATGTGACAGATCGCTGTAGCGCGTCAGTTCAAACGGCACGTGATACAGCAGCCTACTTAGCTACGCAGCGTTGAGTGAACCTATGAAAGAGAACATCTCTGGTTACTGGTGTAACATATCTCTCAATAGGGAACGAGACGCTGCCAAGCTCCTCGCGCTGCCGACCAGCTTCCTTTTTCGGCAAAGAAATCTGAGGAGCAGATGGCGCGCGCGCGCCAACATAGTATGACGACGTAAGTGCGTCGATGCGGCGCCCGCGCCATCAGCCAATGAATTGGCTTGATTCTATATGGGATTCAGACTATCGGCACACCCAGAGGGCGTTCTGACACGTAATTTTACACGTGAAATGCAGCCAAACCTTGCGAGAAAGAGCGCGCTTGCGAGACAGAAGAGACTGTGCTCCAAACTGTGTAGCACACGCACGGCGGAGAGAGAGCGAGCGAGAGACCTTGTGTGTGTGTGTGTGCCTAATGAAGTTAGGCACCGAAATCAGGCACCGAAATTTTCTTTCTTATTCGGTCTGGTTACTACCGTTTACGTCGGAACCGGTTCCCTATTGGCACCGAGTTTCGGTACCCAACCCTACACACAATAGGCTTTTTTCTCTGATTTTGAAAACTCTTCGCGGTTGGTGATTCCTGTAACGTTACTGTTTTACGGTCAATGACAAGAGTACTAATCAGCTGTCTCACGAACGTAACCAGCACATTTATCCCCACATAGCAAAGCCATAACACAGCGAGGGAGAAGAACTAAGTTACATGAAACAGTCCAACTACATATTTTACACCACTGACAAGGGAAAAGTCACTACTCACAGTGTTTATGGCTAGCTTCTAGGTTTCTGCGGCGTCTCTTTCAAGGTAGTGACGAAACGCGCTCTGTAGCGCTGTGTGTTCGCTGTCGGCTACGGTAGAAACATGACGTCACAATATGGCGACCTTCATAGAAGGGGGTGCCCGCGGTTATGTAGATATAAATGTCTCATTCTAAGGTAATAAAAACATTACGGTTTATTAAGTAAGTTCTTTATACACCTCTGAAAACATAGTTATGGGTGTCATATTGCATTTCTGTTAATATACTCAAAATTATTACACATTGCACCTTTAAGAAGGCTGTAATAGTGAAGCCATACTCGGTGCACGATTGAACCCACCATCACGTGCATGATCATTGTTGTTTTGCTTAAACACCTAATCACCATCTTGAGTGTTTCCATGATTTGTGGTAGGTGGGTTTCCCAGCTGGTGTTGTCAACATTATCCCAGGAATGGGTCCCACAGCCGGAGCAGCCATTGCTTCTCACATGGACGTAGACAAAATAGCATTCACTGGCTCCACGGACGTAAGAGGTTTTTCTTCAATAATGGATATTTCTTGGATATGAAGTACAATACTGTACACACCCTGTCATAACCTTGATAGAAATGATACTTTCTCTCAGTGTGTGACATATAATATGTTGTAGGATTTCTTGTTCATACATAAATCTTATTACAATATTTAAAACTTAATGTTTGGACATTTAAAATTGGCACTCCATAGCAAAATATATAAATGACTATCTAAGAGCAAATTTGTTCACAGTTTTTGTGAAGCATCTACTGTGTCTAAGACTTAATGTATGCAATTTTTGGTAAGAGGTATTAAAGGTTTGTTTACACAAAAATTCAATTCTGTCATAATTTACTCATTGTCATGTTGTTCTAAACCCAAAAAGCATTACATTTTGATTACCTAAAGTCCTAGACTAGCAATGGAGGGACAGAAATCTCCCAGGTTTCATTAAAAATATCTTCAGTTGTGTTTTAAAAATGAACAAAGGTCTTGTGTGACATGGACATGAGGGTGAGTAATTAATGACAGAATTTTGGTATCGTGGGAACCCAAAACTTTAATTTAAATTGCAAATATAATATTGGTTTGTAATATTATGGTTGAATAGGTAGGTCACCTCATCCAGCGAGCCTCAAGTACCAGTAATCTGAAGAAGGTCACACTGGAGCTGGGCGGAAAGAGTCCAAACATCATTTTATCAGATGCTAATAGTGAGTTCATCCATTTATCCTGACACTTGCAGCAGTTTTGACAGCTATTTTCAATAGAAAGGAGCTAAAGCCTGCTCTAAACTGTCAGCTCTTTACTTACTTCTTGCTCATATACTGTATTTTAATATAATATATAGCCGAATGTCCCATGAAGCTGTTCTCATTTACATATTTTCTGTCAAACAACAAAACAAATGTGATATAGTGACTGACTACATTTTAACCAGCAGTCCAAAAAAGTTGCTAGATTTGTTGCTAGTCATTTTTTGACAAAAAATAATACATTTTATTACTATTATTTTATTATTTCTCCTGAGGTCCACCTATAATGTTGGTACAGTCATGATTTAGTTGTACATGACCTTTCCACCCTCTCCACCCTTTTAATTATATCATTTATTCACCTTCATGTTATCCTAAACCTGTAGGACTTTCTGTTTTGTACAGAGAAGATTTTAAAGAAGGTTTCAACTGTTTTTGCCCATAAAATGAAAGCAAGTTCGGACCAACACTGGACACCAGTGACCATTACAACATATTTTGTTTGTGTTCCACAGAAGAATGAAACTCATACAGTCTTGGATTAAAAATAAAATAGAAAGTAAAATATGATTCCTCACATTTTTTAATCTTTCTAATTTATATTTGCATTTGCAGTGGAAGAGGCAGTGGAGCAGTCCCATTTCGCCCTGTTCTTCAACCAAGGCCAGTGCTGTTGTGCAGGCTCTCGCACATACGTACAGGAGAGCATCTACAATGAGTTTGTTGAGCGAAGTGTGGAGAGAGCTAAGAAGAGGGTCGTGGGAGACCCTTTCGACTTGAAGACTGAGCAGGGCCCACAGGTACAGCTCTTCCTCGAGCATATAAACACCCTAAAGTTATAGTTTTATCGAGAGAGAGAGAGCAAGTTTTGACCTCCAAAATAAACTCCAATGTTACTCGACCCTCAATAGAACTACTAAATTGGCCAGTTATCTATTTACTAAACATTTTAAAGAAAGACAAATCCTCTCCAAATACAGATTAAGTGACCATAATCTAGAGATAGGAAGGCGTAGACAAACATGGACAGAGAGAGAGCAGAAGTGTGTGTGTGTGTGTGTGTGTGTGTGTGTGTGTGTGTGGACAGAGAGAGAGCAGGTGTGTGTGTGTGTGTGTGTGTGTGGACAGAGAGAGAGCTGAGGATCTGTAGACACTGTGATCTACAGCACATAGAGGACGAGGAACACTTTATGCTCTTCTGTCCCAAATATACCAATATAAGAGAAACTTTTCTGCCCAGATTTGAAACCTTGATTCCATCATTCTTTGAACTGAGTGACACTGAAAAAATGTCCTTCTTACTCGGAGAAAATGCTAGTACAGCTGCACTAGCGGGTAAATATGTGCTAGCTATTCACAACGCCTGAGACAGCTAATTCTATAGAGAGACCCACTGTATTTATTTATCTATTTATTTCTATGCCACATATGACATGATCTATACTTGTATGTTTTGTTTGTTTTATTATTTATATATGTTGATGCTTTGGCAACATTGTGTTACACAGTCATGCTAATAAAGCTAATTTGATAGATAGATAGATAGATAGATAGATAGATAGATAGATAGATAGATAGATAGATAGATAGATAGATAGATAGATAGATAGATAGATAGATAGATAGATAGATAGATAGATAGATAGATAGATAGATAGATAGATAGATAGATAGATAGATAGATAGATAGATAGAGATAGAGAGATAGAGGGATATGATTGATGACTGCTTGGACAAAATATGAGAAGCCCATTTTAGAAATGTTCCAAAAAAATAACTTTAAATGTCAAAATTATTGTTTTCAAGCCCAGTTGAAAGATCTGTGATACAAATCCGACCCTAAAGTAGTCAAGCTGGAAAACAAGTTGCAGAAGTGATTGTCAAGATTCAATCTATTTTTAGGATTAACTTCACTGTAAATGAAACATAATTTCAGGATCTTCTTAACAGTTACACACCCAACTTTAAAAAACAAAAACAAAAAAACACTGCATTTCTGATAAGGCAATAAAAACAAAAATCATTAACTAGTGAACCTCCAAAAATGAGAAAAAATAGATCCCGCAGGTTCCCGACCACTGTGCAAATAATTTGGTGATTTCGTTGCATTTGCAGTTGTTGTGGGTTTCTTCTTACCATTAGGTACTTTCAGTTACCCACCCTGGTAATTAATTACAATTAACATTTAATGCACTGTATTGTGAGTTCCTTTGGTGTGAAAGCATCTTTAAAAGAACATATTTCTGAATCACTCAATCAAGATCATAGTTCTCTGATATTGCATCCATTAGTATTTCTTCTCTTTACTCAAGGTCGATGAGGAACAGTTCCAGAAGATTCTTGGCTACATCAGCAGTGGGAAGCGCGAGGGAGCCAAGCTCATGTGTGGCGGGGGGGCGGCAGGTGATCGCGGTTACTTCATCCAGCCCACTATCTTCGGGGATGTTAAGGATGACATGACAATTGCTCGGGAGGAGGTGTGTGTGTTTCACCTTTTAACGCATTACTAGGGAAATGGACTTTTCAAGATCAACTTTTCAGCTCTCATTATTTCTAGTGGGGTTCCATTCATCTTTTTTTCTAGATGTGCTTGTTTAATATTTCCTGCTTAATAACCAGTCCTAACTAAATAACTGGTAATAACGACAATGAATAAATATTAAAGGGGTGGCTGATTATGATTTCACTTTTCTAACTTTAGCTAGTGTGTAATGTTGCTGTTTGAGCAAAAACAACATCTGCAAAGTTACAACGCTCAAAGTTCAAAGCAAAGGAAGATATTTGCTTTTAAAGAAAAGGACTACAACAAACGGCTGGTAGAAACTACACAACATTCCTCCAGGGTTAGTGACATCACCAACCCTAAAATGTACATAAACCCCGCCCCCGGGAACACGCAGTCCATGTTGAGAAGAGGAAAAGCTGTTGTAGTCAAGCACATTTGTGAGTCAGCTCAAACTGTAGCATCCGTCTTTTCACATGCAATAGAAAGTCACTCTGTGTGCATCTCACAACAGTTCCTATACAAGCGATTTATAGATTATCCTGACAGAATATCCTAATTGAAGATAGTTAACTCCACATCAGCAACATAAATTCATCAACTAACCATTCAGAGACGTCCTGTTGCATTCGACATGTTGTCACGTCTTCTTGATTCTCTCCATCTTTGTCTGACTCCGGTTTGACATTAAAGGCAGAACAGTTTCTGACATTTTAGTGTGTGACTGCGTGAGGTAGTCGGAGCTGCTAACACACACACTCTTGAAGCTCCGCCCACTGTGTCGGGAGCTGCGGCTCATTTGCATTTAAAGGGGCAGACACAAAACGGTGCGTTTTTGCAAACCCTCAAAAAGTGACAACTTTAACATGCTATATAAAAATATCTGTGGGGTATTTTGTGCTAAAACTTCACATACACACTCTGGGGACATCAGAGATTTATTTTACATCTTGTGAAAATGGCATTTTACCACCCCTTTAACATAAATATCGAGTTCAGTCATGAAACTCTAGGGGGCGCAGGCTGATCAGTCCTTTGCATGCAATCTGCAAGCAATCACATCATTACCACATGGCACAAGCTGATTGGCCTCTGCTGATCCAGCAGCCAATGAGATTGCTTGCTCAACATTTAAATAGTCTGGTTCAGGGTTGGCTGTAAGCTTGTTATGCAGTGTGCTCCTCCACCTCCCCCAGCTTTAATTTTGGATCAAAATCTCAATTTTAACCAGCTAGGGGTTTACAAACGCTGTCAACAAAGACTGACAGCTATTCGTAAACTTAGGCACTTGTCTGTTCAGCCACGACTTCTTCTGCTTCTGTATCGCAGTATTATTGAGCCGGTCCTTACTTATGGTGCAATTTGTTTTGTTTTTCATATGCTTACAGTTACCAACAAGAACAAATTCTTAAAGATAACTCATTTAGCAAGTAAAATGATTGGTATCCCTACCCCCAATTTATCGGATAGTGTCTCGACATTCACGTTGCGAAAGGCACAAAAAATATTAAATGGCTCAAACACCCACTTTACAAATATTTTATCCTTCTGCCTTCTGGCCGCAGGTATAGGTTACCGATGTGTAGGAAGGCCAAGTTTAGTAAGAGTTTTGTTCCTGTATCTATACGAGCTCTAAATACATAGGAAATCGGCCTTTGATACGTCAGGTAAGCTCTCTTGTTGTTGTTTGTTTTGTTGTTTTTTTCTGCGTTTTTTTTTTTTGTAGATGTTTATATGTTCATATTCTTAATATGTTATACATGTGTGTTTGTATTATGTACGCATCTATGGTGGAAACAAATTTCCTCTCGAGGACAAATAAATCATCATCATAATATGTAGCGAAAAAAACACCCAATCTGGCAACACCATCAAAACAAAAAGCAGCATGTAGTCGACAAAGCAGCGAGGAGGCGTCGTATGATCATTTAAACGAGTTTTATGACAAGGTCGTTGAGGATGGTAAAAATCGTACGTTTCTGTTCAAACTTTGCCCGCCGATAAAATAATTGCTGTCTGTGGTTGTATATGGACTGTGGCAATAATAAAAAATAGCTCGCAGCAACATATGGAGAAAAAAAAACTATGAACTAGTTCATTTTAAAATTTGTGAACTGAACTTTAAACTAGTTCATGTAGAAAGTGAACTTTCCCAACACTGGTGTGTAGTGTGTCTGTGTATATATTAGCTGTAGCAATAATCAGCAGCCGTGTAGCAGATCTGGTCCACAAAGACCAAATACATTTACATTGCAATATTCAATGGTAAATGCTAAATGGACTGCATTTATATAGCGCTTTCATAGACCCAATGGCCACCAAAGCGCTTTACAATTTGCCTCACATTCACTCACTTATTCATACACCGACGAACATGCTAAAACCATTCTGAGAGTTGTTACGATTGAAATAATTATTATTAACTAAATACATTATGACTAGAATTGTTGAGATTAAGAAATCCAGCCAACCTTTCGGTATATAATGATCATATGCAAAAATACATGTCTGCTTGTACAAAAAAAAAAAACTATATATAACGTTGTTGGTTCATGTTAGCTCTGGTCCATTAAATAATATGAACCGATAAAATTTTTGATTTTAATAATGTATTAATAAATTAACATTAACCAAGATTAATAAATGCTTTTCTTTTTTGCCAGTTACCAGAAATTGTTTTGAATTAACATAAAACACCATTTTACATTGTTTATCTTCCCATGATATAATAATATATTACACATTTTATGGCATTCTGGTCTGTTTAAATTCTACAGGTGAAACTCGAAAAATTTGAATATCGTGCAAAAGTTCATGTATTTCAGTAATTCAACTTAAAAGGTGAAACTAATATATTTAGTATAAATAACTATATGCATATCCATGATTATACTTTTCAGAGGGCCGACATTTCTGAATTTAAAATCCTTTTTTTTTTTTTTTGATTTCATATAATATTCTAATTTTCTGAGATTTTGAATTTTGGGTTTTCATAAGCTGTAAGCCATAATCATCAAAATTATAACTTTTGCAGGATATTCAAATTGTTTGAGTTTCACCTGTATAGTATAAGATGTACATCTAGTAAAATGATATAACATGCTATTCCCTTTCTTTACTGTTAGATCTTTGGCCCTGTAATGCAAATTCTGAAGTTTAAATCTCTAGAAGAAGTGGTTGAGAGAGCCAACGACAGCAAATATGGCCTTGCAGCGGCTGTCTTTACCCAAAACATTGAAAAGGCCCATTACATATCCAATGGCCTGCGTGCTGGCACTGTGTGGTAAGTGTGTGAGATGCTTTATTATCTTAAAGAAAATAGATATCTTGGATATTGGAATATCAGACCTCTTGCTGCATGCTTGTTCACATCAGGCTTGTACTTGTGATTTGATTAGGATTAATTGCTATGACGTGTTCGGAGCGCAGGCTCCCTTCGGAGGCTACAAGGCCTCAGGGATTGGTCGTGAGTTGGGACAGTACGGACTTGACAACTACACCGAGGTCAAAACGGTAAGGTTTTACCATCAGGGAAACAAAAATGCACTCATTATTCAAAATTCACTCATTGTAAACTTTAAATGTCTTGCTTTTATCTGGATTATAATCCCAAAGTGATTGACTGCTTTTACTGTTGCTTATTTCTAAGTGTCAAGTAGGTTAAGATGCATTTATAAATGTGTTTATTTGTACATGCAGTGTTTTAGATGTGTATTTGGGCAACGATCTGTAAATTGCAGCTATCATTAACTATGCACTCATTTTTATTTACTAACTCTTTTCCTCCACAGGTTACAATTAAGGTTCCTCAGAAAAATTCATAAATGGAGAAATTCATTTAGAGAAGCCGTCATCTAACGATTAGAGTTGTGCCAGACATTATTGAAATGAACATTACTCTTTAAATCTATTTCATTAAATCAAATAATGTCTTAATGTGTACTGGGGGAAAAAAAAAAATATATATATATATATATATATATATATATACACGATTAGTACATAAAAAATAAAGTTCTAACAGTGATAAGTTACAGAAGTTATTATGATTATCCACCTGAAAAAAGGAGAGAAAATCTGTATTGGGCTGATTTTATTCTGTTTAATTCAAGCATCATATAGACAGCATAATCTGATTTTGTGTAATAAATGGTCCAATTCTTTTCTTTTTTTCATTTTTCTTTATTCATTTATTCTTAATTTGCATAGATATTTGTCCTTTTCTGATTATATTTTTTGTAATAACATGCAGAAGAAAATAAATGAATATCAAACAGTAACAGTCTCTGTGATTTTGCAGCATTTATTGTTAGATATGATCTGATGACCTGAAAAAGAAACACAAATAAACTTAAAAATGTTTGGTTTCACAGATTAAACTTTTATCTATTTATACTTTATATTTGTTCATTTTAGAAACACTGACAATTTGTATTCTCCCCTTCATCACTAACACCATACTCTGGTAACTAGTGTATTCTTACTTGTTTTTTGTGTTAATAGATGGATATGCTAATCATTTAGTGCTATGATATTACTAGGCAAATCAATCCCATTTGATGTATGATTAATTTTTGTGAAATTCCTAACATATATTTGTGAATCTCATTCTATTTATTTGTGTTTTGTTTTTCATAATTGTTTTTTGTGTGTGAATCTCTACATTTAATTCAGGATGGGAATCTATTTATCTGGAAATATGAACCAATTCTAACCCCATATATTACTGTGGTAAACTAAAAACACAGCACCACTCACATTGTAATGATTGAATTTCTAACTAAACATTGACCGCTGTGTAAAAAGGTGATTTTTTTTATCATTGAGACACTATTATAGTTTGTATCGATATTTTTGATTTGTTTGACATGTTTTTTTATGGTTTAAATTTCAGTTAACTATAATAATCCTGGTATAAAACACATTTCACACATTACAATGACAATACAGTTGACATATTCCCTTATTGAATCAGCAGCTCAACAAGAAGTTACTACTGCAGCTTTAAAACCTACGAAGTTTTAGTCCTATACTAAATGGGGGTCATAGTGAAGCCATAGAGGAACCTTTTTCCTAGAGTGGATAACATTTTAAAAAACTAAAGAACCGTTTTCCACTGTTTTAAGCTTTTGAGCAGTGGAAAAGTTTCATTCGGCCCAATGGAAAGCATATTTACACTGTCTGAATCGTTCCCTATCCCCTATAGTGCACTATGTGCCATTCACCATGTAGAAAATAGTAGATGTGTGAACAAGTGACTGATTTTAGCCACAGCTTCAGCGTAAAAAACAGGATTTACGATACTGATGACTATTTATAATGTAGGGGGCGGAGCTTCAGATTCTAGAGACCATTTGATTGGACAGAAAATCTGATGAGATGAGTGAGAAACTAAGTTTTGAATGCTTATATCTTCTAAATGCGAATTTTGTCATTGTTTTAGAGCACACTAGCTTATAGATAACAGTCAGTAAGACCAACATATTAAAACTAGCCTACTAAAAGCCAAAAAAAAACTTCAATTTTGATTTCATGGGGACTTTAGTTTTTTTGGGGGGTTTTTGTAATTGGATTCAAAAAGGTAATATAATACAAAGTATAGTGTTATAAAGGTAATATAATCATTTTTGGGAGGTTTTTTGTAATTGGATTCAAAAAGGTAATATAATACAAAGTATAGTGTTATAAATGTACATACATTTAAAAATATATATATATAATATAAAAAACAGGATTTACGATGCTGATGACTATTTATAATGTAGGGGGCGGAGCTTCAGATTCTAGAGACCATTTGATTGGACAGAAAATCTGATGAGATGAGTGAGAAACTAAGTTTTGAATGCTTATATCTTCTAAATGCGAATTTTGTCATTGTTTTAGAGCACACTAGCTTATAGATAACAGTCAGTAAGACCAACATATTAAAACTAGCCTACTAAAAGCCAAAAAAAAACTTCAATTTTGATTTCATGGGGACTTTAGTTTTTTGGGGGGGGGTTTGTAATTGGATTCAAAAAGGTAATATAATACAAAGTATAGTGTTATAAATGTACATACATTTAAAAAAATATATATAATATAAAAAACAGGATTTACGATGCTGATGACCGTTAAAACGCGTCATCATCACACTCTGTGAAAGCTCGCGCTCCTCTCCGTTAGGCGGCGGAATGAGCCTGGATCTCTTGCTTGCAGAATGTGGCGTGTAGTAAAGAAGAAAAATCTTCCTCAGCTTTGGATCAAAGGTAGCACTAGCACCTTAGCAAACAATCCCAAGATAGTATTTGGTCTCTATGGTGCTTTTCAAAACACTGTAAAGCGCTGAACCCTGGACAGGCCAGCGACGTTATCAGAACTAGCACGCGCATGTGACGCGATGAGAGCGAGAATTAGCATCTGCTGTGAACTCATGCTACATAGCTAGCTGCTTCTAATAGGCATTACCTTTAACTCTTTTTTTTGTCCTTCATCGGTTTAGTTGCTCAGTTGTCAACAACAGTGTAGTTAATACTGGTTGGAGGTACCGTAGCTTCAACGTTGGCTAGTCTGCGGTACTTTTGCCTGTGAATGTGTAAGATGTTACCCGAACACGCATAGCCTTTCCTACTGTCTTGTGGAGTTTGACATTTAATGCCAGTTCTGACAAAGAAAAGCTCTGGTGTTCAAAAGTTCATCGGACAGCATGGGAATAATACACGAGACGGCATCTTAGCGCTTAGTAGACTTCGTTCAACATCACGATTTTGGTAAGATCGCACCTGTACGAGCCTGTTGAAGCCAGAAAGAGAAGATCACGATCAACATCATGTCCGAGGACACCATCGTGGACAGGTTCATTAAGGTAAGCTGGCTAATTAATGTACAAAAAGTAAACAGTTCAGTCTTTCCATTTCTGTAACTTCTAATAACAGTATTTCCATTAAATGACGAGTTTCACTAATGAACTGCTGTCTGTAGGTTACATTGTCTTGCATGTCACACGGCTACTAACCAAAATGAATAAATCAGAACATTGACATGACATCAGTTTGAGTTAAAATTGTTTGTGTATTATCTTAAAGATTCCACTAAGAAACAATCTGACAATTCCACTAAGAAACAATCTAACAATTTAATGAATAAAACAATCCCAGTAACAAGACCCACACTGTTGTAGTATTGCAGTCAGATATTACAGTATGTTGATGTCATCTGAGGTCATTTGCACTGCAATGCATCAGTGAGACGCACGGTGGCGCCACTTGCGTTTAATTGAAACGAGAGTAGATTTGTCATTAGTGGTGTATTAAAGTTTTTTTTGGGTGATGATTGTATAACAAATAATGAATAAGTACATGTATAACTGAAGTTGCTATATCAGTACAAAGAATATGCATCCTTTTCAAAGTGTGATCATCATACAATTAAAGGTAGGGTAGGCAATTTGTTTAATAATTCTTTTTTGTTATTGTAGTTGAATCGCTCTTCACATCCTATTAGCAATCAATAATAGAAGTGGTCTAAATACACTCACCGGCCACTTTATTAGGTACCCCATGCTAGTAACGGGTTGGACCCCCTTTTGCCTTCAGAACTGCCTCAATTCTTCGTGGCATAGATTCAACAAGGTGCTGGAAGCATTCCTCAGGGAGTTTGGTCCATATTGACATGATGGCATCACACAGTTGCCGCAGATTTGTCGGCTGCACATCCATGATGCGAATCTCCCGTTCCACCACATCCCAAAGATGCTCTATTGGGTTGAGATCTGGTGACTGTGGAGGCCATTTTAGTACAGTGAACTCATTGTCATGTTCAAGAAACCAATTTGAAATGATTAGAGCTTTGTGACATGGTGGAAGTAGCCATCAGAGGATGGGTACATGGTGGCCATAAAGGGATGGACATGGTCAGAAACAATGCTCAGGTAGGCCGTGGCATTTAAACGATGCCCAATTGGCACTAAGGGGCCTAAAGTGTGCCAGGAAAACATCCCCCACACCATTACACCACCACCACCAGCCTGCACAGTGGTAACAAGGCATGATGGTTCCATGTTCTCATTCTGTTTACGCCAAATTCTGACTCTAACATCTGAATGTCTCAACAGAAATCGAGACTCATCAGACCAGGCAACATTTTTCCAGTCTTCAACTGTTCAATTTTGGTGAGCTCTTGCAAATTGTAGCCTCTTTTTCCTATTTGTAGTGGAGATGAGTGGTACCCGGTGGAGTCTTCTGCTGTTGTAGCCCATCTGCCTCAAGGTTGTGCGTGTTGTGGCTTCACAAATGCTTTGCTGCATACCTCGGTTGTAACGAGTGGTTATTTCAGTCACTGTTGCCCTTCTATCAGCTCGAACCAGTCTGGCCATTCTCCTCTGACCTCTGGCATCAACAAGGCATTTCCGCCCACAGAACTGCCGCTCACTGGATGTTTTTTCTTTTTCGGACCATTCTCTGTAAACCCTAGAGATGGTTGTGCGTGAAAATCCCAGTAGATTAGCAGTTTCTGAAATACTCAGACCAGCCCTTCTGGCACCAACAATCATGCCACGTTCAAAGTCACTCAAATCAACTTTCTTCCCCATACTGATGCTCGGTTTGAACTGCAGGAGATTGTCTTGACCATGTCTACATGCCTAAATGCACTGAGTTGCCGCCATGTGATTGGCTGCTTAGAAATTAAGTGTTAACGAGCAGTTGGACAGGTGTACCTAATAAAGTGGCCGGTGAGTGTATGAAAACTTGGACATATATCTGTGGAAGTCTCAGGACTAAAAAAACTGTTCATCCAATCATTGCGTTCGGTCCGCTGTGTGCGTTCATGTGTTTTGAAGGAGACGTGGCTTTGTAGACGCTCTGAGAGGGTGGGATCTCATGATTTTAAAGTTAGCAGCTCTAAAGTCTGGAACACACCAAGCCGACGCCGACGAACTAGCGCTGATGAAAGCCGACTGTGTTGTCGCCTCGCGTCGGGGGGAAAAGCTGCACTTGAACACACCGAGAGAACTACAGCCGACTGTCAGCTAGAATCGCGTTCTGCGCCGGTGTGTAAATGAGGCAACTGTCTATTTCTGCAGATATATTCGTCTATATTCGTCATTCAAAAAGGGAAACCGACGCTGCAGATACACACCGTAAACAAAGCAGTGCGCGCTTACCGTTTTGAATATCAATCCTGCTAAACACTTTCTTTATTCCACTCCGCTCATGTTAATATTGAAATATTCGCCAAGGAACACTCAGTAAGATGACGTAACATAAGAACAGCCTTCTATCGGTACCGTTTTGACTACTTT